CCACGGTTTTCCCGTCTCTGACTACTGATACCCTCCCCCCTTTCTACCCCTTCCCCCTTTTCTCATCTGCTCAATGCCATCTTGCGAGGCGCTGCTTCGAGGAGAAAAGTTTGTTCAGAACCGAAAATAACTTTCTAACCAGGGATAAGAGAAAAAGTGCACGAGGCAAAAAAATAAAAATTCCAGAGTAGCTGAGACGAGGCCACAAACGCGAGCGGAAAACTCTCCCCTCATCCTCTCTCCACCCTCCACACACTCACTCTCTCTCCTCACACCCACTCTCTCACTCACTCACCCCACGCACGAGCACCCTGAAGCCTTACTTGCTGTCGGCTTGACCTAGCGAGCGGCTCGGCCCTGCCAGCGCGTCAAAAATCACGTCACTAACTCTATCGACCCGTCCGTCCGTCCGTCCGTCCGCCCGTCACACACGCCCACACTAACACGCGCGCGCTCGTACACGTGCGACGAACAGTTCCTTCGGGGGTTAATGGCGCGGATATGGCTTCTGCCAGCTCCCTCCGACCCGTCCCCTCCCCCCGCCCCCCTCTCCCTTCCACTGACTGCCTAACCATTCCGTTGTCGGAGCCAATGTCCCCTCAGCGAACCTTGGCAGAGACAGTACACTCGCGCCCGCCTCCGCAGCAGACACTACCGTCAGACTGCCTCGTGCCATCACACTTCCCGTCTCGTTTGTTTAGTTCGCGTCCCGCCGCTCGAGTTCGCTCTGCGGGAAAGCGAGTGCTTTCATGCCTCTGTACAATGCCCGCCCTGCCCGCGCCGTCTCCTTCTCGAAACAGTATCGATGTACCTTCGGTTGGCTGGCTCCCCCCCCCCCCGTCCCTTTCTCCCTGCCTCCCTCCTTTTGGCTCGCGGCTCTATTCAAGTGGGTTTATTGCACCTGCACCCCTGCACCCCCCTACCTTCCCACCTCCCCTTGCCCGTCGGTGCGTTGTCTTTGCTGGCACAACGGCGCTGCCGCGGGGGCGGGGGGCGGCCGGGGGGCAGCCGGGGGGCAGCCGGGGGGCGGCGGCGGCCAGACTGCACCTGTTCCTCACCGCGGATGGAGCGATCGTAAAGATGTTAGTCGTGGCGCACCGGGCCCTTTAACCTCTCGGGGCGCGGCGGGGCGGGGCGGGGCATTGCTTTATTGATCCGGCGTGAGCGAGTGTGTGTTGGGTTGGGCCCACCGCGTTACGTGACTCTGCAAGATAACCCTTTTCCCCTCCCGGTATTTTTATTTTATTTTATTTCATTTTTCGTTGCTAGCCGTGCGCGCCCTCGGTTCCCCTTCCTACGAGCTGCTGATTCCACTTGATTTGCCTCCGCATGCCCCTTTCCCTTTTCCTTACACTCTTTGGGGGGAACCTGCTCCTTTGCTCGCCACTCTGTGCTGGAGGTGCTTTGGGCGCAGTGAGCCGCTCTATGGAGCGAGAGGGCGAGGCTTGGTTTGGCGCCGGCCAGTATGAGAAACTACACGCCCCGCTTGCGCGGCCGGCCCCCTCTCTCGCCTTGTAACGTATTCCTGGTGCGGAAGTAATGTGCTCTACCTACAACCACCCACATTTAGGGAGGCCGCCGGAGAGGGGCACCCCGCCCCTATCTCGCAGGGGCGGGCGGAGGGGCGGGGCGGGGTGCCCCGTGTGGCGGCGTTATACCTCTTTCCTCCCTCATTCCCGGAGGATCCTCTCTGCTGGGGATTCCTAACCCCTCCCCTTCTCCTCTGCGGGGCTGAGGCACGCCCCCTCCCCCCCCCCCCTCTCTACTCGTTATTCCTCATCTCGATACTCGACCCAGCCTTTTTCGCCCTGAAAAGAACCCCGCTGGCCCTGAGTTTTTGCTTATTAATAACGAAAGCAAGTGGGAAAAATAGAGATGTTAAAGCGCGGCCATGATTTTGACCGCGGGGAGGTCTGGAAAGTTTAAAGGATTTTGCTGCGCGAGAAACACGGCGGCCCCGGCTGTGTGGAAGTTATCTGGGATGAGCCGCCGAGCTGCCGCAGCTGAGAGGACGAGGAGGGGAGGGGTCGGCGGGGAGGATGGGGGAGGCCAACTTTCGCGCGGCGAACTAGTTGAACCTCCCTGGTCCAGTGGCAGCCCCTCGGGCAGCCCGGCCCGGCCTGGCCGCGGGTCGCTGGAGAGCGCCTGCAGGGCGGGCAGCGCGGCCGCACGCGCGCGCTCGGCTGGCCTACCTCCCGGGCTGCGGCCGCTCGCCGCCGCGCCGCGCCGCCCTCCTCGCCCCATACACTCTGCCGGTCGCCTCGCTGCTTGTTTTCCTTTATTTACCGTGTCATTTTGTAGCCATATGCCGTGCCGCCGTGGATCGAAGGATAAAGGAATGGTAATGGGGAGAGAGAGGGACGGAGAGAGAGAGAGAGAGAGAGAGAGAGAGAGAGAGAGAGAGAGAGAGAGATGGTGAAGGGGTGGGGCGAGGGGCGCCTCATTATGGCCGGACGTTGGTACTTAGGCGGGGGCCGCTTCCGCGCCGAGAGAGAGCCGCTTAAGAGTGAGAGGGTGGGCACTAGAGGGTAGGTGAAAAGTTTCAAGTGCTCGGCAACTTCTTCCTCCGTGAGAAGAGCGCTACGCTACGCACTCTTTTCTTTCGTGCTTCTTTGTCTCTCGTTTACTACCTATGACGGATTTTTACCGTGCCGAGTAATTCCCATATGCATTTCCATTAATAGCGATGTTGGACATGCACCTATTTCCGGGCTGACTCGCATGCATGTCTCTTGTGGGCGATTACCATAGCCAATCGGACCTGGCCGCGCAGCGATAATTGGAGAGAGGCGTTGCCGCCCCCATTTTGGCTCGGGCTGAGCTGCGGCCAGGCGGGGCGGGCGGGGGGCGGGCAGGCAGACAAGGCCTCCTCGGGGGTTGTTTGATGGCCCGCCGACCCGGAGCTCTCAGCTGGAAGCCTGCCTACCTACCTGGCCCCGGGCCAGGGCGGAGCGGAGTCTGAGCCTATTCCTCGCGGGAGGCGCGGGGCGGGGCGGGAGTGGGCCGGATTTGCAAGCTCCACGAGGGTCCGCTCGACAATGCTGACTTTGTGGCAGCCGAGTGCCCCCCCCCCCTCCTCCCGTCTGCGGCTGAGAGAGGGAGCTGCCTTCCCTTCTATCCTCGCACCTCTGTCTCTATCCTGCCGCGTCATGCAGCAACAACAACCCTCGACGCAATCTCGGCGGCTCTATCCCGATCTAATTTATACCGCTCGTTGATGGCGCTCCCCTATCCCTGCCTCCTGCACACGGGAAATCGTTTCTTGGTGGGAACTAAATCATGACCGCGACGAAACTTTTTGTCGAATCGAACAAAACCTTTCTTTAGCTCCAAATAAAAAAAACAATTTGACTTTTGGTTTTTAAATAATAATTTTTTTTTGTCATTTGAACGAAAAGTTTGATTTTGGTTTCTGGTACGAAATCTTCGTTGCAGTAAATATTTTTTTCCCCAAAGAAACGGTTTTGTGGTAAGTGCGCCGTGGCACCGTGGCCAAGGTATTCTCGTTTTGTTACGTGAGGTGAGTCGGGGGCGGCTTTGGTCGAGTCAGCGCCTCGTGCAGCTCGCATCTCTTCTCTCGCATTATGCCTCGCCGCCCTTCACGCGGAGCACTGTGTGGAGCCGCACCAAGCCTCGCCCCGCCACGCCAACGCCACGCCAACGCCACACCACGCCCCGCCACGCCAGGCAGCACCGAGCCCGTCATCGCGCCCGTCCCGTCCCGCCGTATTCATGCAGCCTAGCAGGGGCTTGCAGGGGTGCCCCGTTGCCCCGCCCTCTCCTCCCTAAACGTCCACTTGCTGCGCCCCGCGCCTCGTGGTGCAATCAACGACAGGCGACTCTCGTTTTTTGTTCTCTTTCTCTCCCCCCCCCCCCCCCCGCGCCTTTTTCCACCCCCGCCCTTTTGCATCCGTCGTGTCTGGGCCCCGCTCACTCTCTCGCTGACAGCTGCCGGATTGGTTTTTGGAGGAGCTTGGTCCCCGAGTCTGTACTGTGCCGTTGTTCAGGATGCAGCCCTGCCGGGCCCGCCGCGCCTGAGCCTGGGCCTGGGCCTGAGCGCCTAGCGCCTACCGCACTGCTAGCATGTCCAAAGCCATCATCGCCTACAGAGTGTGAGTACCCTATGTCGTGCCTTTGCTGCTTGCTTCTTACCCTCATACTTTAAAAGGGCACTCATTCCTTCTGCCCGAAAATGATACTCTCTAACGAGTACGTTTTTGTCGCAAATAAATTTGCTCTAATGCCTGGAAAGAGTGCATGATACGCACTTGTTTTCGACTTAAATCCTGTAATTGTTTGATTCAGATTGTTACCATTTGTTTGTTCTCTTCACAGGGAAGTGTTTTTGCGATATGGTTTGTGCATGTGTGTACTGCTTAATTCAAAACCTGGGGCACAAAAGAGGTGTATGCAATGAAGAGCGTGGTTGTTTGCACCGGCAGAGCGTACTTCAGAGAGTCCATACCGTACCGCGCAGCCCAGCCGAGCGTGTGTGTGCACCTGTACCGTATCTACTTTGTGCTTGCGTGTGTGTGTGGAGGAGGGAGGGGGATGGGGCTGGAAGATGAAAGCTGGAAAAAAATGTCTGATTCCACCTGCGGCCTGCTTTCCTTTTTGTACTGGGAATAGCACTAGGGGGAAATCGGCGGGGGGCTTTTGTTATGGGCAGCCGGCGAGGAGGGGCGGGGT